TTCCTGCGCAGCCCCCCCCCACCCCGCCCCGCCGCCTCCGACAGAACCCTGGTGTTCATTTGGGGGTGGGGAGGTGAGAGGAGAGGAAGAGACGACCTCATTGTTACAGTCAGAGATAAGCCCATGTTTGTGTGGCTAGGTCTTAGTATTTTTTCCTATTTATAGTCCAACATAATCCCAAAATAACACAAATAGAAATAGGGGAAAAAATCAACTTCTAACTAAAAGTGTGCTGAATCTTAACTGCCATCGAGGTCAGTGCTCTGGTCCTGGTGGTGACAGCATTGCTGCTTTGCCGGATGTTACCGTTTGGGGAGATGAGTAAGTCGTACGTGGGGTCACTATTACTTCTTATAGTTGTGTAGCTACCATTCTCACAGGGTAAGACGTTCCATTAAACACACTGAGTTAGAAAATAATTTTTTTTTTTTTCTTTTTAGATTTTTGCCATCGGGGGCATGGTCTCACTGTAGAGACAGAGAGAGAGGGAAAATGAGAAACCATCCCCCCTGGAGGAGGGCCAAACCACAATCCCTTCTCCTCCATTCCCCTGTCAGTATTTTGGGCATGCACGTACATGTGCCCAGGGTATTTTTCAAGCGTCCAAATCTGAGACTCAGACTGTGGAGTCAGTCATGTGGGATCTAGCACCTTAATGACTATACTTCCTGCTGGCCCTAGAAAACCAATTTTTGGGAGGAGGGAGAGGTTTTTGCTATAGGGCGCGTGTGCTTGCCTGAATGACAGAGAGAAACAGAGAGACAGAAAGTGAGAAATCACCCCCTAGGGGGATGGCCACGCCACAATCCCTTCTCTGTTCTCCTCTTGGGATCTTGGGCATGCATGCATACGCACCTGGCGTGAGTTTAAGCCACCGGGTGTGGGACTCGAACTGCGATCGACTACGTGGGAGTCCAATGACATAGCCATTATACCAACTGTTGGTCCCAGAAAACCAATTTTAATAGAGCTGTGAAAATTAAAATAGAAAGCCCAGCATGATTATTGTTTCTCGTTTTGTTTTGTAGGCGTGTATGACACAGTGAATAATCTTGGCTCTCTTGTGGCCAGATTAATCTTCCAGCCAATAGAAGAGAGTTTTTATATATTCTTTGCTAAGGTGCTGGAGAGGGGAAAGCAGGCCACCCTTCAGAAGCAGGTAGTCTTGGTTCTCATGTCATCGTCTCTCGAGTGAATTCCCTCTCTGCTGCAAGACGTAAAAGGGGGGCATCTACTTCACTTCTGTGTGGTCTGAAATCTTGTAGATGTCATTCCTTTATCACGTTCTGAATGATGGTGGCATCCAGGGCTCTCTCCTTCCATGGCCTTCTCCCTTCCCCTCCAGCAGCGCTTTCCCTCACACCCTGTTGTCCTTTATGACCTTACTTTTGACTCAGCCCTCTCTAAACTCGCTCTAACTGACCCTGGTGCAGCACAGATTCCCTCCCATGGTCCAGCCTCAGGTGTAAGAACGAGGTTGCCTCCCCCATCCTCACAGTCTCAAGGACCAAAGCTAGCCCCTGGGGTAGGGAAGGAGGGACGTGGTTACTGGGTTTCACTCATTGTGCTGATTGTGTAAGCTTTTACCGACTATGATGTTCCCAGACCTGCATTCTTCTTCTTCTTTTTTTTTTTTTTTAAGATTTTTTTGTTATTGGGTGCATGTGCTCACCAGAAAGACAGAGACAGAAAGCAAAAAAATCATCCCCGAAGGGGATGGCCACACCGCAATCCCTTCTCCTCCATTCTCCTCTCAGGATCTTGGGCACGCACACACATGCGCCTGGTGTGAGTTTAAGCCGCCAGGTCTGTGGCTCGAACCACAGTTGACTACATGGGAGTCTAGTGATGTAGCCATTACGCCATCTGCTGGTCCTGCCAGACGTGCATTCTGACTGTGAGACTCTCTAGACTCCAGGTGGTCAGTATAGAAGAGATTTTAATCCAGGGGTATTTGGTTGTAGAAACTTCACTTTTTCTAAAACCATTGAAAATGTCTGATTTATCTCAGAATTAAGTGCAAGCTAGTTCAGCCTCTTACATATCTTAGAAGACATTTTGCAAAATACAGTTTATACACACTGTCTCAAAAGGAGCGAATTTGGTTCTCAGCCAGATTAAGAAACGTATTCCTAAGTGCACCTTGACAGTAACATCGGAATCTTGAGACTTTAGTTAGGGGACACACACAGGTGGCTAGTGTATGTGAAAACTTGCTGCCCATCTAAGAATAAATAGCAGAGGGCAAAGCGAATGCTTCCTAAGCAATATTGATTCATTTATCCTGAATAAGATGGAAACAAAACCTCCCTCATCACCGTCTGAAGAGACACACACTGTTTTCCCTGATTTGCTGATTGACAGAAACAAACACAGCCTACGGGACCAGCAGTTAGTGTAATGGCTATGTCACTGAACTCCCACTTAGTCGACCATGGTTCGAGTCCCGGACCTGGTGGCTTAAACTCACGCTGGTTGCATGCCTAAGATTCCGAGGGGAGAATGGAGGAGAAGGGATTGTGGCATGGCCATCCCCTCTAAGGGTGATTTCTCTCTCTCTATCTCTCTCTGTCTTTCTGGTGAGCGCACATGCCCTACCTCTCCAAAAAATAAAATAAAAGAAACAAACACAGTCCATAGAAAGCCTGTCCTGCAGGTGGGAAGGCAAGCCACGCCACAGGGAAGTTGGAGGGCCAGAGGCGCAGGTTTCCTTCAGCTCCCTGCTCATCTGCTTCCTTCCTTGTCCCCGGCCCCAGGATGACGTCGCTCTGGCTGCTGCGGTTCTGGAGTCCCTGCTCAAGCTGGCCCTGCTGACCGGCCTGACCATCACCGTCTTTGGCTTTGCCTATTCTCAGCTGGCTCTGGATATCTACGGAGGGACCATGCTTAGCTCAGGGTCAGGTGAGCGCAAGGGTTTTGCCGGATTCGTTTTAATTTCTGAACAGAAATAGAAAAGTCTCAAGAGACACAACTCATGCACATGGGGTGAATGTCTGTGTCAGCACCGCGGAAGTCACCTGGTGGCTGGGGCCGTGGGCCACTCCCCTCCCTGGGGTCAGGGCACTCTTGGTGCAGTTGGAAGCTTTGGCACAGGGTCGTTGGTTTCTAGAGTGCTTAGAGGGGTTGTGAGTGCTCCCTGCCTTTGGCTTCCCTCTCAGGCCTAGGATGTGTCTTCCCAAGCCCTGGGCTCCCTCCAGGGCGAGGGAGAAGACAGCAGGCCCCAGTGAGTCCCCACTTGCCACTACATGCCTCCGAGGACAGTAGAGCCACATAAATCTCATGGCCCGATGTATAAAAGCCCCTAAAGGATAAGCCAGAGCCATTTGCAGAGAAGAAAATTGATCTCATCCAATAAAATGATATATTTAATCCAGCGCCCCTTGAATTTTGAAGGAGTAAAGTATTGAATGTGTCTCACTTTGAATGTCTCTGTGCCCGGGCCACTGAGAACCTCACAGGCCTTGGGGACCTCACCGGTTTTTAAATACGCCGGTAGGCAGGTGTTACAACAGTGTTCATTTTGGGTTTGGCAAGGGCGTTTTTAATCCCTATGGCACCAGAACGCCTGAGACTTCTTTCTGTTGCTCCATCTCTGTGTAAAGAGCCTTGTCAAATGCCACTTGACAAGTTCCACTGTTTTCGTCTCCACTGTGATGGGGCTCAAACTTCAGTATTAGAGGAAGAAGGGCCATGTTTCTAGCTAGAGCAGAGGAAAGGTCTTGAAGTTTGGAGAAACACCTGTGTGCTGGGAGAGGTCCATCTCCTTCAGACAGCCGCAGGGGGGCCTCCTTGGGACGTTTAAGTGCAGAGTCTGGGACTTGCAGCCCTGCCCCTTTCCAGAGCAATACCAAGGGGCGGTCTCGAATGTAACATTGTCAGGATGCTGCTGGGAGGGGCTCTGTCTGTCAGCCATCATAATGTTCGCCTGGTGGTGTAACAATCGAACTGCTGTAATGGGATCGTCCTTACTCAAGTGAGGTGCTGGGGCCAGTTTTGAGCATGGATAAAGGATTTATCAAAAGGATGGTGCTAGTTGAGTTTGAAGGTAATATATTCTGAGTCACTAATAATAATTTTAGACTTGAAAAAGATGCTCTCCTACTCTCCTCTTCAGAGAGAGAATGGGATCTGGTGGTTCTGGTTTCTCATCTCCCAAAAGCTTGTGTGGGTTGGTGTGGCCATTGTCATGTCTTGACTGGCCCAGGCCCCCAGCAGTGTCACTGCCCCGGCAGGGTCTTCCAGCTTTGGTCTCTGAGTTGCAGCTGCCTCTCCTTTTGACCAAACTTCACTCTGTAAAGGCGACCTGGCTTCCTGGCAAGCTCTGTGCCTGTCCCTGGGGTGCCAGCTGCTCTCTTTCCCCAGGGCTGTGACTCCCCACATCTCCCTGCCCTACTCCTGACTCTGCGTGTGAGACTGGTGCTGCAGATCCAAACGCTGACTGCCGGGGAGCGTACCACTGCTGCACTCCCCACCTGCCCCTGGTTTCTGCTTGCCTAAGTATTCCACAAAACCTGACTCTGCCCTTCAAGTCTGCCCGGGTTAATCAGAGAAGAACAGCAGCTCTGCGTGGCTCAGCCCCAGCACCCTGGCTTGGAAAGTGGGGATTGCTACAATGCGGTCTGTGGTTGCCCCTGTTATGTTGTCTTGGCCCTTCAGGTGGACTTACCTGTACTGGCCCTTCCTGCCCATCCCGGTGCAGACTGGCTTTGCAGTGTTGGGATTAACGCTGGGGCTTCGTGAGGGCCTTCTCAGGAACCTTCTTCACTCCTCGCTTTCCCAATCCTTAAGGAACACATGGAGCCTCCCTGAGATTTCTCATATAGGTGCTTCTCTCTTGCCCCCTTTCTTTTTTTTTTTAAAGAGAAATTTTTGCAATAAGGCACATATGCTCTCTGGAGAGACAGAGAAACAGAGAGAAATCATCCCTCAGGGGGATGGCCACGCTGCAATCCCTTCCCTCACACACGCGCCTGGCATGAGTTTCAAGCTTCTGGGTCTGGGCCTCGATCCATGGTCAGCCACGTGGGAATCCAGCACCTCAACCATTGTGCCACCTGCTGGCCTCTTTTCTCTTTCCTTTTAAAAATCTATTTTTCTCTCTCTTCCCTCGTATTAGTTTCCTAGGGCTACCCTATAAAAGTAGACCGAGTGGCTTTAAACAACAGGAATGTATTGCTTCCTAGTTTTGGAGGCTGGGAGTCCGTAACTGAAGTGCAGGGAGGGCCCGCCCGTCTCTCTCTGGTGGCTCTCGGGAAGGGTCCGTTCTCACCTCTTCTAGCGTCTGCATGCTGGCTTTCCTGGCTCGTAGCAGCCACATGGCCATCTTTCTGTGGGTCTCATGTCACCTTCCCTTTGCATGTCTCTCTGTGTCTAAATCCCCCCTTTTCGTAAGGACCCCAGTTATATTGAGCTAGGGCCTACTCTAATGCACTCACTTTGAACTGGTTATCTCTGTAAAGACCCTATTTCCAAACAAAGTCATATTCTTAGGTACTGGGGATAGAACTTCAACACGTCTTTTCTTTTCTTTTTAAAAATTAATTAATTAATTAAATTTGAGAGGTTTTTGCCTTAGGGCACATGTGCTCACCAGAGAGAGACAGAGACAGTGAAAGGGAAAGTGAGAAATCACCCCTTGGGGAATGGCCACACCACACCACGATCCCTTCTCCTCCATTCTCCTCCCAGGATCTTGGGCACATGTGCACACGTGCCCGGTGTGATTTTGAAGCCACTGGGTCCAAGATTTGAACTGGGATCGGCCACGTGGGAGTCCAGGAACATAACTGCTACGTCATCTGCTGGCCCCTCAACACGTCCATTACAACCCTTAGTTCAATTCACAGTTTAGGGCCGGCGCCACAAGCCCAGCACAGTGGTTACATGCTGTGCCTAGAAAGCTGGGTCCTCATGACTGAGTACAGTTCAATACCAGCCCTGGTGGCTTGAAAAATACCCCAGGGGACCAGCAGTTGACGTAATGGCTGTGTCACTGGGCTCCCATGTAGTCAACCACGGTTCGAGTCCTGGACCCAGTGGCTTAAACTCATGCTGGACGCATGTGTGTGCATGTCCCACATCCTGAGAGAAGAATGGAGGAGAAGGGATTGCGGTGTGGCCATCCCCCCAGGGGGTGATTTCTTGCTGTCTCTCTTCTCTCTCTCTCTTTCTGGCAAGTGCACATGCCCTATAGCAAAAACCTCTCAAAAAAAAAGAAAGAAAGAAAAAAAAGAAAAACACCCTAGGCACGTGTATGTACACCCAAAGTCCTGAAGGGAAGGAAAAATGGAGAGGGGACTCTGGCGTGGCCATTCCCCGTTGGGGAGTGCTCACTCTCTCGTAGGTGTGCACGTTCTTTCTCTCTCAGGCGCACACATACCCACTGACGATAATAAAAAGATTGAAGTCAATCCACAGTTCAAAAATCCTTTAATCCAAACTGACTCAAAGCCCTTTTCCCGAGTCATTGCTTCACGTGGTTTGTACTCTCCACGCTGCAGGATGGCCCACTGTCCACCTCAGACGGGCCACATGTGGGGGGTGTGGTACAGGTGAGAGGGCCCCTCGCATCCCCCTGCTTCTGCCGAGAGGAGGATGGGGAGAAGCAGGACCCGGCCCGCATGGCTGTGGGCTCCCCAGGGCCTGAGCCTTGGCCCTGAACTCTCCTGGAGTTGCCTTCAGCTGGGCTGGGGCTGGGCCACTTTCTGCAGGGGTGAAGAATGAATGTAACAAGGTGACACAACGTGGAGTCCCCGAGAAGCCATGTCTGTCGGTGTCAGGGTTGCCTTGTTAGTATTCCTCTGTAATTTTGTGAATGCCATCAAACTATCTCAGGTTCTCACAGCACAGGGGCCTTTTATATGAAACACTTTCTATTTTCTTTATCTTTTTAAAAATTTTACCAGAGAATGCATGTGCTGGCCAGAGAGAGACAGGACAGGGTGGAGGGGGACCATCCCCCTTGGGGGGGTGGTCCCACCACAATCTCGTCTCCTCCATCTCTCCCTCCTTTGGGGATTTCAGGCACACATACACATGTCCCTGGCATGTTTCTCAAGCTGCCAGGTCCAGGACTTGAACTGCATAATTGGCCATGTGGAATCCAGATGTCTTAGCCAGTAAGCCATGGGCTGACCTTCAGCAGTTTTCATAAACTAAATGAGTTCAAGTTGTTTTTTTTTGTTTGTTTGTTTGTTTTGAGAGGTTTTTGCTATGGGGCACATGCGCTCGCCAGACAGAGACAGAGACACAGAAAGCAAGAAATCACGCCCCAGGGGGGATGGCCACGCCACAATCCCTTCTCCTCCATTCTCCTCTCAGGATCTTGGGCACACACACACATGCACCCAGCGTGAGTTTTAAGCCACCAGGTCCGGGATGCGAACCACGGTCGACTACATGGGAGTCCAGCGACATAGCCATTATGCTAACTGCTGGTCCCAAAATGAGTTCGAGTTCTGAGACTCTGAAACTTCAGACTCCCCTCCTATTAAGTGGTTAAGTATTTTTTCTTGATTGAGGCATAATTTATGCAAGTAAATCCTGAACACTTTTTTTTTTTTAATGTTTTTGCTATAGGGCATGTGTGCTCACTAGAGAGAGACAAGAGACAGTGAGAAAGAAAGTGAGAAATTATCCCCCCCAGGGGGTGGCTACAACACAGTCCCTTCTCCTCTTGAGATTTCGGGCACTCAATGCACACATGCCCAGTGTAATTGTCAGTGGGACTTAAACCATGGTTGGCCTCGTGGGAGGTCCAGTGCTACAACCACCATGCCACCCGCTGGCCCCAATCCTATACTCTTAAGAGTACAGTTTGGTCGGGAACCAGCAGTTAGTGTAATGGCTGTGTCGCTGGACTCCCACGTAGTCGACCGTGGTTCGCGTCCCGGACCCGGTGGCTTAAAACTCACGCCGGGCGCGTGTGCGTGCGTTCCCTAGACCCCTAGAGGAGAATGGAGGAGAAGGGATTGCAGTGTGACCATCCCCCCTGGGGGGTGATTACTCGCTTTCTATCTCTCTGTCTGGTGAGCGCACGCGCCCTATAGCAAAAACCTCTCAAAAAAAAAGAGTACAGCTTGGTGAGTTTTGACAAATATATATACCCATGTAACAACCATCCAGATTCAGATAGACCATTTCCATTACACTAGATAATTCTCTCGGGATCCTTTTTAGTTAACTGCTCCCCTCCCCTATCTCACTATAACAATTTCTATAATCATAGATTCGTATTGCTTCTAAAAAGAATTTTTTTCTTTTACTTGCCAAACAGATGTGCTAACCAGAGAGAGACAGAGAGATAACATCCCCCACTGGGGCATGGTCACCTTACTATCCCTTCTTCACTCTTCTATCCCTTTAGGAGTTTAGGCATGTGCACATCTATGTGCCTGAAATGTCCTTCAAACCACAGGGACCAGGACTCGAACCTCAGCTGGCCATGTGGGATCTGACTCCCTTAACCACTGTGCAACAGGGCCAGCCCTAAAGAAGTGCATATCAATGAGATCATGCAGCATGTAGGCATTGTGTCTGGCTTCTTTCCTTCGATGTAAAATTTCTGAGACTCATCCATGATTTTTCACAGATCAATAGTTTTTTTCCTCTTTCCTTGCTGAGTATTGCTTTGTGTGGATAGCCCACAGTCTGTTTCTCTTTTCTTCTGTTGATGGTCACTTTGGGCAATTAGAACCAAACTGCTACAGGTATTTCTGTATACGTGTTTTGGTGACTGTGTGCCTCCTCTTGATAATGGTCCTTTTAAAAGAGGGGGTTCTCTCTCGTCTGTCAGGTTTTCCCCAAGGCTTGTCAGTTAGCTACAGAACTATGTTATTTTGTTTTCAGGGAACATAGTTCTCACTGTGGGTTTGCAGACGCTGTCTGAGTAGGTCTTGCTGGCCCTGTGCCCTGGACTTTTCCTGAAGGTCTTTCTTCAGAATCTGTTCAACTGAGGTTCTCTTAATATGCAGAGCACTAGTGCCTTTGTCCTCTCAAACTAGCAGGCTTCTTCATGCTGGTTAAAAAAAGCAAACAGGTTGGCTTGCTAGTCAGATAAGTGTTCAGTTGTTTAGCAAGCGAGAAGTAAGTGAGCGTACTTGTATTCATAATTGTCCTTTGCTTTTAGCTGATTATTTTAGTCTTTGCCATGGAATGCGGGGAGTCCTTCAGGGCAGTTAAGACTGGAGGCTCGAACGTGCGGTCTGCCCACAGTGGGACCGCAGGGCTCCTGACCCACCCTGGCAGCATGCTCTGAGCACTCGGCGAGCTCAGGTGTACGTCTGGGCTCTGCAGTCTGGGGTTTGTTTCCTCGTAGGTCCCGTCCTGCTGCGTTCCTACTGTGTCTACGTCCTTCTGCTTGCTGTCAACGGGGTCACCGAGTGTTTCATGTTTGCTGCCATGAGCAAAGAGGCGGTCGACAGGTGGGTAACCCCAAGGTACACCTACAATCATAGCCTTCAGCCAAACTGAAGCCTTTTGCCAGTCTTCTTCCTTGCATTTACAGATGGCTCATTAGAGATGATGTTTAGACCACTGGCATGGTGCTCCCGGGGTCTCCACTGCACTGATGCCATTCAGTTAGTGCGCCTGCACGGCAGGGCTAGGGGGCAGTGACTCTTAGCTTCCCTTTGTGGAGAAGGAATATCAGCCCCAAGGGCTGTTTGTGCACGTTTGCAGAATCAGGCATGAGACCAGCTAGACCTCCATTCCTCCCCTCCCTGCCCAGCCTCCTCGTGACCAAGGAGCATCTTCAGGATGCAGATTTCACAAGAATCTGACCCATACGTTTCTGAGAATCTCAAGGGTTCTGGGACACCTCTCCTCAGAGAAGGGCCCAAGTGCATACGGAGTAGTGCCCCTTGTCCATGGAAGATTCACTCTGAGACCCCTAGTGGGTGCCTGGGACTAGGGACAGTCCCGACACTGTGTGGACTGTGTCTCCCTATACACACGAATCAGCGACAGGCTTTGATTTGTGAATCACGGGTCATATAAGATAAACAATAATAACTAAGAATTAAACAGAGCACATGGCAATACGCAGTAATAGAAGTTGTGTGAATATGGTCTCTTTCTCTCCCTCTCAGAAGATCTCATGACTTTGTATATACTCACCTATCCCCAGGCTGTAGTTGACAGCAGGTAACTTCATCCACAGAAGTAGCAAGGCAGAATATTTTCTTTTTTTATTTTAGATACTTGCTATCAGGCACGTACGCTCATGGGAGACAAAAGAAAGGGAAAGGGAGAAGTCATCCACCATGGAGGAGTGCCCCCTCTCCTCCATTCTCTTGGGATTTTAGGCATACACACATACACCTGGTGTGATTTCAAACCACCGGGTTCCAGACTTGATCCGTGGTTGACCATGTGGAAGTCCAGTGCCTTAACCAAAGTGCCACCTGCTGGCCCCCGAAAGGCAGTATCTTAAGGCAGTATTACAGGGTGATATAGAGAAGGATGAAACTGATAGGAGAAAAGTGAGGAAGGTAGAGAGGAGCGTAGGAAGAGTGAGTGTAGGGGAAGGGCAAGTGGTCCTTGAGGTGTGGGTCCCGTGGGGTTGTCCTGCTGCCTATGAGAACCCCAGTCAGCGGTGGGTGGAGCAGCCTCAGGGCAGCCTGCACCTGCTTCCCTACGCAGACGGCTCACCTGGAAGCTGGGTGACTTCGATCACTATACACTGGTTGAAAACAAGAGCCCAGGTCAACCAACAGGTCCCAGCCCAAAGTGATGTGATCCTCGTGGGAAGTTCTGGTCCCTCTTAAATGATCTGACTTAGAATTTTAGCATGAGCCTGGGAGTCTGTTCCCCAGCTCAGGGCAATGCTGATTCTAGGGCTCTGAGACCTGCCGACTCAGACCAGCTTTCGCAGCGAAAAGTACATTGAGGCCCAGCCAAGGTATCTCACACTGGTTGACGCTGCTGCTGGGCAGAATGAGGCCACTGGGAGGCTTAGTTTCAGTTCCTGGTTCACCCTAAAATCCCGGTATCTTGCTGTATCCTTGTAGTCCCAGCTACTTAGGACCTAGGCAAGAGGACCACAAGCTCATGGTCGGTGTGGGTGACTGACAAGACCCTGTCTGAAAGAGGCAGGCATGGGGCTGTGGGGCTGTGGGATTGTGGGCCCCGCTGGTTGGGAGGCCGAGCAGGATCGTGACATTGTGAGACCCCATCTCACAAAACACTCCTGTGACTCCCCACAAAGGTGCATATGACTGAAATGTGGGTGCACAAAGCAGGAAGTGCTCCATCTGGCCATGTGGATCCAGTTCCCTTAACCACTACGCTTCAAAGCCACTCTTGTTTTCCCTTCTTTCTTTCTCTCTCTCCCTCTCTTTCTTCTTTCTTTCGTAATAAACTCATAGTATACATAGAGCCAGTTTGGTGGTTTGTTGTTGTTGTTGTTGTTGTTGTTGTTGTTGTTTCCCCATCATGCTCTATTGAAGATTTTTGTTCTGTTTCATTAAGGATGTCTCATTTCATTCATTTGACAAATACTTCTGGGCATCTGCTCTCTAACTGGCATTGTTTTAAGCCCTAGGAAAATAGCAATGAACGAAGCAGATGAGATCCCTGCTCTCCTGGAGCTGGCAGTAGGGCAGGCAGATTGCAAGGAAGTAAATAAATCAGAAAATGCTGAGTTGTCCTGAGAACAGGGTTACGTAGTGAGTAGTAGGGGCCCTTTAGATGGGACAGGCGAGGCAGGCCCCTCTGATGAGGCAGCATTTAGGCTAAGGCCTGGACGACTGAAAAGATGGTCAAAGATGGGGACAGATCCTTCCAGGCAGAGGGAACAGTAATGCAAAGGTTCAAGATTGACAGCTTCTTTGGTTTCTTGGCCCTCGAGCGCCAGTGTGGACTCCACTCCTTTCGCTGAGCGAAGGATGAGTGCAAGCCTCTGACCTTGGCAGTGAGAGCTCAGTGCCTGGGCGCAAGGCTACATTGCCTGACTGTGTTTGACAGTACTGATGAGCTCCCGCAAGGCTGCTTCCGTTGGTGATGTCCTTGACCATCTCTCTTTTAATAAGCCTCATTTTATTTTATTTTTTTAAAGAATTATTTATTATTATTATTATTGTTTTAATTTGACCAGAGAGAGGGAAAGTGAGAAAGCAAGCCACCAGGTTCAGGACTCAAACTGTAGTTAGCCACATGGGTCCAGCACCTTAAACATCACATTAGTTGTTGGCCCCCAAGAAACCTGATTTTAAGCCCAGTGTCTTCTTGGGGCCATGGACAAATAAGCATTTATTTGTTGCCTGTGTTAACCAAACCTTACAGAATAGTTGTTTTGTCACTGATGAGTAATTTTGCTTTGATTTTTAAAATGATATTTTAATTTTATCCTTAAGATTCTTTTTTTTTTTTTTTTTTTTTTGTGCATTGTGCCTTTAAGGCTATAGATTTGTGAGTTCTGGAAACTGCAGCAGCTGCAGAGCCCCCGTTTAGTGAAAGACAGACTTTGTCATTATCAGCACCCCCCACCATGGCCATTTCCAAGAGGCCGCACTATCGAATGTGTCCCTGCTTGAATCAGCGTGAATTAACTGTAGGTTTCGTTCCTTATTCCCCTTTACTCGGACTAGGCAGAGAATGACTTTGAAAGTTTGTGAATGTGAATCTATGACTTGAACTCCAAGGATTGGTAGAGTAGACCTTTCTGAAGTCGTTTCTGGAAAAATAACAGATTGCTTATCTCTGCTGCTTTAAAAAAAAAGTAAGATAGACCGTGTGCTCATGCATGTGAGGATGAGAGTGAGAGGGGGGGCCCCCACCCCGGGCCTGGCCCTACCACGGACCCCTTCCACTAGTCCTCAAGCCTGTCAGATCACAGGTGCTGGCCTGAGTGCTCTGTGTGACCAGAGTGGGGATTTGAACTTAGTCGCCAGGTGGGATCTGGACTCTCTTGAACACTGAATTACTGCTGTGACAGAGCTAGCCTCTGTTGCTTCTAGAACAGAGGTCAAGGTACCGGTCTGTGACAGGTCCCATCTTCAGTGGCTTGTCATGAAGTTGGTCATTCCAATTACTGATTAGTACTTAGGGAATAAATTTCCCCGAGAGAGGCCCAGGCTCCTAGACTTCCGCTCATTGAAACTCTCAACTGGGAAGCAAGTAAACTCCCTTTTAAGAATTCTGGATAAATGTACATCTGCCCTCTTAGCGTAGTGTGTGGTGTTCCTACACCCACTCAAGAAAGTGTATTCCACAGCACCCGGGGCTCCATCAGCCCAAGGACCTGTACCTGGGCATCAGGGGACACTGGCTGTCTTAACCACCCCATGTGCAGAGCCTGGGCGATGGGCTGTGTGGTCACCTAGCCCAGCAGACAGCTTGGGGACCTGAGGGCTGTTCCTCACCTGCATCCTTAGTGTGCCTGCAGTGCTAGGGAGCTCAGCTCGTGGCTATGCCGTGAGCCTCGTGGAGGATGATGGCAGCTACTTTCACTTGCTGAGTCAGTTTCCTTTGCTGAAAACTGAAGGTAACAAGCGACGTGCTGCTTTAAAATCAGAGAAAGGAAAAGTGACGTAACTCCTTCATCTCCAGAATCCAGAGAGCTCTAGAGATTCTGAGAGCAGGAAGGAGGATGTGTAATAGTCTGAAAAACCCCAGAGGTGGTCCAGGCTCTGCGTCCTGTTCACGTTTCCTGGGGGAGGCTGGTCACTTGTAGATGAGGTCCACAGCCCCAGATTACAGGGTGCTGCATTCCCCGAGGGTGAGGCTGTGGGCACCGAAGCCTAGGGGTTCAGGGGAAGGTAGGAGCGTTGGCCTACTCCCCAGGCCAAGCACTCTCCTCCCTGTGCTGTGTGAAACAGTTCTGAGCACCACAGGGCACCCACGTACCCACTCACCCATGTGTCCCCAGCACCCCTCATGGGGCCGGCCGCAGAATTAATCCCTGAGAGGTAATGTTTACCCGGCCGATGTCTGGGGACATCGGGCTGAGCAGGGTTTGCATGCGTTTTCATCACAAAGTGTCACTTAACCAGTAATTATCCCTAAAGATATCTTGAGATGTCTATTTTTTACTCTTCTGTTTGGGCGTGGGGTGGAAAGTGACACTTTCATGTTAGCCATATGGTATTTGATGCTGCGAAACCTGGGTTCTGGGAACCCAGCTGGGCTTCTGGGACTCAGAGGGACTTCATGTCGGTGGTGATGGCCACCCTTATTGCAGCGGTCTCGTCCTGGGACAAGACGTCCACTGCCCTGCTTCTCTCCCCCTTGCAGGTACAATTTCACGCTGCTGGCGCTGTCGTCCTCCTTCCTGGTGCTGTCCTATCTCCTTACCCGTTGGTGTGGCAGCGTGGGCTTCATCCTGGCCAACTGCTTTAACATGGGCATTCGGATCACACAGAGCCTTTGCTTCATCCACCGCTACTACCAGGGCAGCCCCCACAGGCCCCTGGCCGGCCTGTCTCTGTCGCCCGTCCTCCTCGGGGTGTTCGTCCTCAGTGGTGGAGTTACTGGTGTTTCAGAGGTGAGACTTCTCACAGTCCTCACACCCCATGCTTCTACAGGCTGACACTGTCCCTCTCTCTAGTCTTCCCTTTCCTCGTCTGTCTGAACCTGCTGGAGAGGCATTTCCCCCCCTCAGCCCTCCCCTAGGCCTCTAGGGCAGCAGATGTGACAAAAGAATGTCACCAGCAGGAGGAGAGAGACCTCCGGTACATAGTTGTCGTGCCTTTTATCTGACATGGAAGTGGGGACCGTAGCTGTCTTCATGGTTCGTGACTGTGAAGTGACGGCAGTTTCTTTCCCCAGGCATTCCTCTGCTGTGAGCAGGGCTGGCCAGCCCGGCTGGCGCACGTGGCCGTGGGGGCCTTCTGTCTGGGAGTGACCCTCGGGACAGCATTCCTCACAGAGACCAAGCTCATCCACTTCCTTAGGACTCAGCTCGGTGGGTCCAGACTTGTTAACAAAAGGACATGACTGCAGGGGTGCCTTGACACCTATGGCACCTGGGCCTGCTGTGGGACAGTCCTGTGGCGGGAGCCCGGTGGAGGGTCTGCAGTAGAGAGAGAGAGGTCAGGCGAGAGATCGGGGAAGCCCTGGGAGACGCATGCTGTGCAGAGGAGTCGGAAACACCAAGGAGGAGTTTCGTTTTTAAGGGAAGACTAAAAAGTCCTTTGAAAATGGATACCCTTTTTTTTTTTTTCAGCACTTCATTCTAATCAGCATTTTTACTTTTTATTAATGTATCCATTAGTTTTGGGATTGACCTTTTGAGCTATGTACTCCAACAGACTATGTCCATCGTTTAATAATCGTCCGGCCCAGGAGGAGACAGCCAGCCATTTTACTCTCCACAGGAATATTTAATTTCTCCTATTAAGAAAAGAAGTAAGACGTGATGTTACACACCAAGCTGGAACGAAGCGGGTCCCCGGGAACTATGGCTTTCCCTGTGTCAACACCGGTCTGTGTTGTTAGAGAAGGAAGTGAGAAATCAAAAAAAGAAAATGCGAAGGGTTTTCTTGTTTTTAGAATTATTAATTTTATTTATTGTTTCATTATTTTTAAATTTGCTCTAGAGCTTATGCACCCACCAGAGAGAGAGAAAGTGAGAAAGTAAGCTGCCAGGTCCAGGACGCAGACTGCGGTCAGCCACACGGGAGGCCAGCACCTCAGCCACCATGCCACTTGCTGGCCTTGAAGCTTTTACGTTTCTTTCTCCAGCGTATCAGAGGACACAAGTGATTGCCAGAGAGGGGCGGAGGGAGAAGACCCCCCCCACACTAGGGTGTGATCATGCCATAATTCCTTTCCTTCATTTCTCCGTCCTGTCAAGATTTGGGGCACGCACATGCATGCCAGTGTGTTTCTCAAGCCACTGGGGCCAGGACTTAAACCATGTGGCCAGCCAGGTGGGATGCAGCTCCGTTAGCCACCAGCCCACAGGGCCAGCCCCAAAGCACAGAGCTCTTCACCAGACCTGCACTCACAAGCATGAGTTATGGAGACTCAAAGGCTCTCCTATTGTGGCTGCGCATTAAGAGCCAGAGCGGGCCCCCCCCGACTTGTCGATCAGAGGGAATATGACAGCTGGCTGAGATGCCTGGTCTGGCCACCTGACCATGGAGACTTTGAAGGAAGGCGTCATCCAACCCAGGCTGTTTTGTTCCCTGAAGAAAGTGCTGGTTGTCATTCTTTATATCTTCTCACGTGGGAATGGCACAGGTGACAACTGAAGTAGCATCGCTGTGTCTGTTTGTCATCAGAGAAGAGCAGTCGGGGTATGTTCTATATGCAGGTGTCCCTGAGCTGGCCTCTCCCGTGGGCCTGTTATTCCCGGCCCTGGTCAGGACAACTGAATTGCAGCCCCAGGACCAGAGTGGGTCTGCTCCTTCAGGCTATAGCGTGGGCCCAGGCTCCCTGCTCCCTGCTCCCTGCACCCTGCAGGAGCAATCACAGCACTGCCGAATGAGAAAGTGCTTTTCTTTTTCCAGGGTGGTATTAATTCCATTGGAATGATTATCCTTTGGTGCTGCATGCACAACCTATGTGCCGGATGGCAATAGTTACTAATCTGGTGTAATGTCTCCAAACCTTCCATATTTACACTGAGAGAGAAAGTGCCATAAGAGCCACTCAGATCATGTGTTGAACTTCATGCATTTAAATCTACTCACCCAGAGCCAGTATTGAGGGGTTGAGGATCGAGACCCACGAGCGTGCCAAGACTGGGGGCCAGCCACTGTGGCCTATTTTTAATCTATTTAGAGGAAGAATTGTGCTAATTGGGAGGAAAATAACTAAATGTAAAGTGGCCTGAGCAATAGGCCTTCTGAAAGCAGGGTTCGGCTAACATAGAAAAATGCATTGCCCCGTGACTGAGGGTGGGGTCCCACACAGAAGGCAGCCCTCCCACGTCCTGTCCCTGTCCCTCAAGTACTCAGTAACGAGCCTTCAGTCTTTTTATTTTTTTCTTTTTAGAGAGGTTTTTGCTATAGGGTGTGTGCGCTCGCCAGAAAGAGAGACAGAAAGCAAGAAATCACCCCCAAGGGGGGATGGCCACGCCGCAATTCCTTCTCCTCCATTCTCCTCTCAGGATCTTGGGCACGCACACACACACGTCCAGAGTGAGTTCAAGCCACTGGTCTGAGACTTGAACTGTGGTCGACTACACGGGAGTCCAGTGGCATAGCCATTACGCCAACTGCTGGTCCCATGAGCCTTCAGTCTTCACAGGTCCCTTCTCTGCTGCTGTTAATGCCTCTGCCCTCCCAGAGCCTGCCAACCAGCCGTGCTCTCTTGACCCCTTGCTCTAAGCATGGTCCTCACACTACGTGCCTGCATCACCTGAACTGAGGCTTAGAGACAGGTCCCAGGACCCACTCCAGATCTTCGGTCTGTCTCCAGCGGCCAGGCTTGGGATCAGCTTTCTCAACAAGCCCACATGACAGTGGTGCCAACAAGGTCAGCACACCCCATCATCCTCCAGCAGGCCCAGGGCCCATCAGGCACATGCCCACCCGTGGCATCTACTCCACTCAGGAACAGAGCTGCTGTTGCCCGAGCGGCTTCCAAGGTCTTTGAGAGCCAGACCACCGAGTTCCCCGCTCAAGGTAGGCTCTCTCTGACAGCTGTGTTCCTTTTGTCGTCTGTCCTGAGCTGCCCCCTGCCACTGCTGTCATCGCAGAACTATCATGGTCAGGTTTGGTTCCTCATGAAAGATGACCCTCCAGTCCTTTCTACTCCATTCTCCTCTCAGGATCTTGGGCATGCACGCACATGCGCCCAGAGTGAGTTTAAGCCCCCAGGTCCAGGACTTAAACCATGGTCAACTACATGGGAGTCCAGCGACATAGCCCTTATGCCAGCTTCTGATTCCCCCAGTGCCATTCATTCTTAACCACAGTTGTCTGGGAAGATGGCTCTCAGTGTGGCTAAGCCTCCTTGGGGCCCAGTGAAGGAAGTCCTCCACACACTTAACTGCCATTCAGGCGGATAAGCAGTTACTGGCCGCCCTCCCCAGCATGCATCGGTGCTGTCTCTGCCTGTGTCCTTCTCCATCCTTCTTGGGAAGTGTGACTTGGATGGAGAGTGCTGGAGGCAAGGTGCAGGGAAGTTTTCCTTTCGTGTACTGAGTCCTCGGTCGGTGCGCTCAGAACTCTGTCCCACCCCCTGCAGGCTCAGGCACACTTGTTTTCGGAGACAGCCCCCTGTTGCAGTTCCTCATGCCCTCATGGAACATGAGTATGTAAATGTGCAGGAGTCGTGGTTGACTGATGGATGTGATGTTACGTTACACAGGCCTTTAAAACTCAATTTTTGGGGCCAGCATAGTGGTTAAGGTGACTCTCACACGGCTGACTGCAGTTTGAGCCCCAGACCTGGCAGCTTGAAACTCAGCCAGGCAGGTGTGCGTGCTTGCCCAAGATGCTGAGAGGAGACTAGAAAAGAGATTGAAATGTGGTCATTACCCCTGGGGGTGATTTCTTGCTTTCTGTATCTCTGTCTCTCCAACAAGCACACGTGCTCTGTAGCAAAAATCTCTCAAAAAAAGAAAAATCAAACTTGAAGTTTTATGTTTTGGGGCCAGGACACTTGTTTCCACTGTGGTCATTTCTGGGGTTCCTGAGAAATTAAAGGGCTCTGGGTGCTGCACCTGTGGGGCTGGACAAATGAAAGGCCCTGGGCACTGGGGAGGAAGAGACAGGTTGGCTGGGAGAAATGAGGGGTGTCTGTGAGGCTGGCAGGGCCAGGCACTGGGGTAGCCCCTGGGCCTCTGCTCCTGCTGAGGCTGGCATGCTGATAGCAGAGAGGGAGGAGGAGGAGGGCCCAGAGCCGGGAGCTGCCCTGGGTGGAGGCTTAGCCCCCTCCATTGTCGAGGCAGTCTCCCCGCCTTTTACGTCCAGCCCCCCATCTCCCTGCTTGTGCAGAGCCCCTGAGGGGAAATGGAGCTAACCCAGGTCATCTTTCTCAGGTAGCTACTGTAAGTCCTAGGTGAGCCAGTAAATGGGCAACCGTGAGGACAGAGAGCCCCGGGCCCTGTCAGAGTGGTACGGTCCATCCAGGGCTGTCCCCATCCTCAGGGAGCTACAGGAGAGCCAGTGACATACCAGCTGACTCGCAAAGGAATCTAGACCACCATTACGCGTCATACTCCTCCCCTCCCAATAAGCATGTCCCAAAGTTACGACCCTGTAGACTCTGTTGTGGCCACGTGGCCCTGGCTTGGCACAAGTATTTGGCAGAGGTCACCCGGCTTTATGGGGCTCCATGAGAAAGGGACCTGAAAACTGGCCACGCTCACAACCCCATCTGCAGCACCGCTCACACGCCGAGGCCAGAACGGGCTGACGCCGTCAGCGCAGTCGGTGAGCAGCGACTAATTAAGACACGGCTGCATTAGTCACATCAGAGGTGACAACCGAGCAGCATGTTTCTGGTGCGTGTCTGGGAGATCCTGACACACTTCCCAATTATGTGGAACTAATAGTGTGCAGCTTCCACGCAGCCTTGGCGGGCAAGAGAGCGGCGGAGTCTGAGCTAGAGGCCTGACTCACGGCCAGCGCTGGTTCTGTTCCCGGCGTGCCCACCCTCTTCCTCGTGCTTCCTCTTGAAAATCACAGGAAGTGACAGCAGGCTGAATGACACAAGGGGGCCCTGAGGACCCTTCCCGGGAGGACGTTAGGTCTCCACCGCTGATCCAGGAGAATGGTGAGACGACTCAGGAAAGCTGGTGACATGGAGCGCAGTCTTTTCAGCAGGTGCAGCTGACACCGGAGAGCACTCGTCTGGCCCCATCCCGTGCTGTCACGGGCCACGCATGGACAGTCACGAAGATCCAGGAGCACCGAGACATGACAGCTGGAAGAAGGAGGAATGTTTTCCACCACACATAATCCCAACCAAACTAGAGACGCTGCCAAAATCGCTTTCTATTTTGTTTCCTGTGTGGCGTTACCACACCATTTTCTGAACCGACGGGGTTAGTGTCTTTCACTTTCCGTGTACTGGCACGGAAGAGCCTGCTTTTCTCTGTGTGGCTTCTGAAATCATGATAATCTTGTAGGTGTGTGGATGTCAGGCTCTGGGGGACAATGGGCGAGAGGAGCTGTTTGTGTTGGTTTCTTTTGTAACAGAGTGAATCCGTGGAGCTGTGGCTGCCCCCTCCCTGCTGCCATCACTGACAATCTTTTCATTTTAATTTAGATTTTTCCTATAGGGCAGAGAGACAGAAAGCAAGAAATCACCCCTCCAGGGATAATTTGACTATACCTCATTCCCTCTGTCATTTCCTCTTGGGATTTTGGGCATGCACACACACGTGCCTTGTGTGAGTTTCAAGCCTCTGGATCCTTGACTTGAACCGTGATTGGCCGTGTGTGAGGCCAATCACATAACCAATATGCCCCTGCAGCAATCTTAAACACACAGGCTGAAAACCAGGCTCTGGTGGAAGGACCCCAGCAGTGTCCCCCTTCAGCGTTTCTTCCATCTGTACCTTCACTGGAGAAGTCCACT